CTCTACAACTTTTAATTAAGCAACAAGAAAGAGTTACTTAATAAAAAAAATACTTTTATATGTAAGCAAGCCCCATTCCTACACTATAGAAAAAATTTATAAATTTCCGATTTTGTTTATTATAAGGATTATCATTTTTTGTTCCCTTTAAAACGATTTACCAATTAAATATCTTGGGATCCTGTGATTGAATTTTAGCGATTTTGGGCTCATTAGAATCGTCTCATTGAGTCGGTCATACTGATGGTAAAATCATCTACAATAGACTTGTGAATAAAAGGCTATTCACTGTTAAACATTTGCCATTTTAGTAGTAATGGCGCAAATCCGCCCATATGAACAAAGTTCTAAACTTTATGCTTTAGCCCTTATCTATATCGGTAAATTGGCAGAAAATTATGTAATTAAATTTAGAATACTGACTATTTAATTGAAATTTTTTATTAAAGTCCAGGTTTTAAACATGGAAGAAATTTTCGTAATACAGTAATAAAGAATCTTACTTATTTTTATTATTTATTTATCAGTGTTGATGCGTATTTTCGCTTTTTTAAAAATTTCATCAAATTCAGATTGATAAATATAATAAAAATTTCTTTTTAGACGATACTATATAATATATAATATATTTTAAATTAATTAATATTTCTTATTGCAAATCTTGATAATATTCCATGTACGTTTACGTATTGTCATGGCAAAATGATAAGGACGGCATATTTAAGAATAGTTTTGTCATAAATATCATGCAAATAAATTTTTGTAACTTAATTGACAAATTCGAAGCTTACAAAAAAATGGTCTTTAAAAATACCGTTTTAGTTATCTATATGTTTAACGGCGTAACAATAAACAAACATGAAAACTGAAATTTGCGAAACATATATTAATAAAGTAATTACTTATTTATTGAATATGATTTAAGATATCTGTGATTATATTATTTTTAATTTAGGAGTACATAAAATTGGTAATTTCCTTTATTAGCATGTATATATTGATACGTATAAGGCATTGAAACATTATCAGAATACATTGTGGTTAGGGATAATACTTAACTAGTATTTCTTAATGCAGTCACGCAGACGAATTTGCCCGCAAAATCATATTAGCATGTAAACCTTGATCTAAAGAGTTATGGGCTCTGATTAATAAAACCAAAACGGACTGTAATATATATATATTCCGGCAAATATTATCTGATACTACACGAAATTAAAATTTTTGTGTTGTGTCAATAAGTTTGAATTTTAAAAATTATGAAATATTACAAAAAAAAGGACTCTACAACTTCAATTCGTAATAGGCGTAATAGGCGTCATTCACCATATAATTACTCAACACAGAATAATAATTCAAGAACATCGTCTTCTAAAAATGACACTTTTATATCAAAACCACCAAGCTCATCAAACGATAGCAATAATGATTCACTATCTTTAGATGACTTAATGAATAGGCTTTTTATAAATACTCACAAATCTATGGTGGATCTTGAAGAATTTATTCGGAAGGTATAAAAAGACTATAAAAAGCAAAATGAGTCGATAGAACAGCTGAATAAACAAAATGAAAAATTGACAAAAATAATAGAAAAGCAGAGTGAAGAATTGAAAGAGTTAAAAACATATTTGAAAACACTGAATGAAATATTGAAATCACTAGATGCGAAGTATATAACGCATAGGCCGTTGATTAGTACAGGCATACCGATAGTTTTCATAAGTCCTGTGATTCTATTGTTGAGAATGTTACAGTGAAGAAGCAATCCACCTGTGTTTTTTATTAACAAAAATTTTGATGTGATTTTTTTTTTTTTTTACAAAATTTATTTTTATTTAGTTATGAAAAAAATATTTTAAATTAAAGTCTTATAATAATTTAAAATGGTCCGGTGGATAAAAAGTTATTCTCTGTTGAATTTTACGCAAATCCGCGAATGATAACTATTGTAACACATGTTTAAGGCTTTGATAAACATAAAAGGAAATTTCCTGATTGAATTCCGATTTTCATTTGTCATAAAAAGCAATGTCTACATACTGTACTAATTATGTGGATCTGTAATACAAATAGTGTACAATTAGTTCCGATGTTTTCCATTTCCCATTAAAGTAATTTCTATTTTTATACTTAGCATGCAAAGATCCCTGTCCCTAAATTTTGTTTTTCAAAATTCAGGCTCCACCCCATAAGTTCAAACCGGGTTTTCTTTGGTGAATAATCTATATTTCACGTGCAGCAGCACATGGCCTTATTCCCTTCCTCAAGAAAATATTTTGAAATATAACCTTAAGATCTAGTCGTGAGAAGGTTAATACCAGGAACTAAGTGATGCATATCGTTATAAGGCAATCGAAATGATGATTGGTCCGCGTGACTCTAACTGTCACCTGTTGTTTATTTTTTACGTGTCAAGCATCACTTCGTATGCTGCTAAAAGATGTTCATGTTTTTTACGTACATACGTACTAAAACTTTATGTGTGTGTGTGTTATGTGTGTGTATGAGTGATTGGAAGTTCTGTCGATGGAAATCGATTAATTAAAATAATCCTATCTAATTCTGATTATATTTCGTGTGAGGCTTCGAATGAAAATTTAGATATATGTCGAGTATTTTTAGCTGCCATATACATCTATTAACCAATAATTTCGTGTGTAATACAGTATAATTAAAAATAAAAGAAAAAAGATCTTATTGCAGATGTCGATTTATCTGGTGTAACGGTTGGGAGAACAATAAACAATTAGAGACAATAGTGCCAATTTGACTCCAACCCCGTACGGAAATGGAAGGCTTAATGCATCAGGAAATTTTTAAATAGGGTGGATATCGATATCGATTACCAGCTGCAGAGGCGATTGCCATCGATTAGGAAAATCGACAATAATCGATATTGGTAGCTAATCGATACACAATCGATTATTGCGGTTTGCAAAATTTTGTAGATCGTCAAAAAAAAAAAGGAATCGATGATTTCTAATTTCTGATTGCCGATTTCTTGGATAACATAGTGATGGCGCAAAAATTTGTCGGTCCCATGATCATCGGGCCAATCGGACCAGATCTTAAGCTCAGAAAAATATCTAATATAACTGATTAATTAAATTTTTGATCTAGCGCTAGGAAATGATTATATAATTTATCAATAGTCTCGAAATTAATTGCTCAATATTTTCGAAATTAAATTTATCAATAGTCTCAAAATTAATTGCTCAATAGTTTCAAAATTAAATTAAATTATTCAAAATTTTTGAAATTAATTATTCAATATTTTCGCAATTAATTATTCAATCTTTTCGAAATTAATTACTGTATTAATATCTTTGAAATTGTGTCAAAATTGAAATTAACACTCAGAATTAAACTACATTTGAAAGATATATTGCGATGAAATTAAAATATGTAATAGATATAATATTATCAAATAAATATGAAAATAAATTCAATAATAAATCTTTAAATACATAATAGATTATATTAGCGAGGAAAAAAAGAATTGTATATTATTTCTTGATATTAATTACATTACAATTTCGTTATTGCTACATACAACTCTTTTTCACTATTGCTTTAATATTTCACTATTGTCATCACTAACAATCACTATATTAATATTTACAATCGCTATCACTATTCACCCTAACTAACTTACTATAATCTCTTTCTATTAATACTGTACTAACTCAACTTATTACTTTGTCGCTAATCAATCTATCTTATTATCTCTCCCTCATTTTCAATAATTTAAATTGATCATTGTTAATGTAAATCATAAAGAGCTCAACTACTTTAACATACCTTTTTTCTATCAACATAAATAAGATAATGATGTCTATAGTTATTGAAAAACAATGTGGCCATTATGACAAATATAAAAATCATGATGATTTTACTAAGGTAAGGGGAGGTAAATTAAAAGAATTTGCTATATGTAATTCTTGTGCAAAAAATAGACTAGGAAAAAGACCTGCAACTGTTAGTGAATTAGCAAATACAGAAAGTTTGAATCTATCTAATGAGAAAAATACTAAAATGATAAATTATAATGATAAGGATGAGGCTTGGTTTAGTTTAATAGATATAGAGAATCTAATAGCCAACAGGTTTAAAATTACTGAAGATAGTTGCATACATTTTTCTAGAACTTTAAAGTTTGACAATAAGTTTATTAATAGTATGTCAAATTAAAGTCAAAAAAGTAATGAAGAAAGTATATCTGTAATATAGCAGTATCACTTCTTTTATCCATTAAATTTGGATCTCATTATTATTGAGAAATATGAAAGATTTATTCTTATAAAAAAATAATCAACTAACTAGAGAAGCAACAATATATCTTGGTTGCACTCAAAGAGAAGATCAAAAGCATGTACGCTTAGAAAATTAACCTGTAAAAAGAATAAGTGAAGCAAGACCTTCAATAAATCAGTATCAATGTGGTGAAAATATTAAAATAAATCTTGATATTAATAAATATTGAGCATATATAAGTATTAAGCATTTATTAGCTCATGAATATCCTACTTACCATGAAAATAATTTGTCTCAAAATGCCATTGCCTGGATATCTCAAAACATAAACAGAAATTTTTAAAAAGTAGAATTTTATCAAAAAATCTGTGAAGAAAAGCTTATTAATTTCAGATATACATACTTATCAACAAGTATATTATTGGATTATAAAGTTTTCTTCACTTCAGTATATTACAGATATTAATAATCAACTTCTTTCAGCTTGTAATTTTTTGGATCAAGACAAATTAGTTGATCAAGAATATTAAGTTTTGTTATATCATGAAAATGAATTTGTTAAATCTCTTAGATTTACTATATTTTTTCTTCATTACACACCAAAGAATAAGATCATTAAAATTATTAAAGACTCAATATTTAAAACTAATAAAGAAAATTTTGAATTATTTGCTATTTAAATAATTCTGGTAGATTCAGAGTTCCACTTGTATACCTATACGTTCATACTTTCATAGCACTAATAGAATGTTTACAAGATCCAAAAAACCAAATTCACTCTTGAGTATTAATCTTAAAGAAATTTTTTTCTTTACTTAAAGCTGAAGATATTCAACCAAGCTTCATTCTTACTAAAAAAGATGCTGGTGAAATAGCAGCTATAGAAAGTGTATGGTCTTCAATAGAAAAAACTTAGCTCTAATTATGGCACACAGAGCATACTATTGAAAAAAGTTAAAAAAAAAATATATAAAGCCAGTTAATATATATTATGAATAGCAAATGATACCAAGATACAATTTAACTTTATTGATGAATTTTGAATACCTGGTAATAAAGAAAAAGCTTTATGTTTTGAAGAAAACATAAAAGAAGTTTTAAGAATAGTTAAAACACATGCACTTCTGCATCCCTTATTCTAGTAAATAATGGAATATTTCTTATCTCCATTGAAATTTATTACTACAGTGTTTAAGAAATATATAAATATTGTAAAAAAAAAATCTTATTCACTTGTGAAAATATCTATGGTATAATTAGTATAAAAAAAATTACTAAAATCTTTTTGTTCGATCTTCTTATTCCAAAGTATTACCCTTAGCAAAAACTACTATGCTAATCAAATCATATTGGTGTGCTCTTAAACACAACTATATATATACTTTCAATCAACCTTATTTAGATTTCTTAACACAAGTCATAATATAAAAATTAATTCCAGATCAAATATATGACTAGAACAAGTTTAAGTATAGCTATGCATTTTCATCATAGTGGAAAGTATTTAAAAGTGATTGGAAACTTGCTTTAGAAAAAAAAGTTAGCATTGAAGAAGAATATTTACTAATATTACTAAATAGATTTGTTCATATCTCACATTCCTTGAAAGCAATTACACACTATGCAAGCATATTGTTAAAAATTATACTATTAGATATCTAAATTTTTTTTACAATTTAAGACCACAAAATAAAGACATGATTATCCACTTATCTACTTTGATAATGAGGATCTTCCAAATATTGAGCTGATGAATAATTCTTGTAATAATGATATTACTGAAATTTATTTCAATAAAATAGAAAATATAAGTAATATCAATATAGAATTAAATCTTTGAAATGAACAAATTGAATCTAAAAAAATTATAATAGAAGATGATAAAAAAGTTTTTAAATTTTTTTACATAGATATTTTCACAAGTGAATAAGATTTTTTTTTTACAATATTTATATATTTC